AGAAAGTTATGATTTAATTTCCTAGGGACACCTTGCTAATTTTTCTGTAGATAAACGTCAGAATTGTACAAAAAAAGTCCAGAGTATTTAATATGTTATTATTACAAAGGGAGCCTGAAAGATAGGCAGACATTCAAAGGATTTATTTATTTAACCAACAACAGCCAGTCTACCCAATCACATGACTTTTACGGTACGTTTTCATCTGTTTTTCGTTTCATTCCCTTATCAGAACACAAAATCCTTTCGTTAAAGTCACTTGTAATCTGTTTTTCATTACCATTTTCTTGTTTTGCTCGTTTGTTCTTATTGTTCTGTTCGTTGCAGGGTATCCATAAAACGCATCACTCTTCAGACTCGAATCTAAACTGTTTTTTTCATTCGCCTTTTCGTGTCTGCTCTGCTCACGTTTTTTAGCCCATTGTTATGCAAAAAGTTGAAAATAATCTTTTGCGTTGAAATGCGCAAATGTTTCTTTCCCCATACGCTTTGTTTGTCCATTCAAGGACGCCACAAAAGGCACCAACAATATGATAATTTCCAAAAGGAAGAGAGCACAATTGAGAGAAGAGAGGACCAGAGAGAGAGAGAGAGAGGCTGCTGCATTACAATAATTGCGGCTGACAAATGCGACAGAAACAGCGACGAGAGGAACAAGGAGAGCGAATAGAGAACAAAATGCCGTCGAGGGGGATGGCAATAATGATAACTAACCGCAAACGAGCGCCGCCAGGCGTCAAAGCAGCACGCATAACGGATGAAGGAGAGAGGCGGAGCAGCAGCAGCGGTGCATTGAAGAAGCAGCTGCCGCCTAGAGGAGAATGGCGAAGAGCGGCGGGAGCCTGGGTGAGGATGTGTGTGTGTGTGAGTGGGACAGCAGCCAGAGTCAGTGAGTCTTCCGTTCTCTGACATTTTTGGCCTACATAACAAAAACAGTTGCAACTGTTTCAGCACAGCTAGTGAGAGAGAGATAGAAAGGGAGAGAGCGCGAGGTGAGCGGTGGGCAGAGAGAGGATACGTAACTGAATGAGTGTGAGAGGGAGGTAGCTGGGAATGTCACACAATGAGGCCTCTTGTTATTTGCACATGTGTAACTGTTGTAGTTGCTGCTGTCTGATGATGTCTCTGCTTGTGGGATGGATGCCCCTGGCAGGCAGGGTATGACAATTTTCATCAGAAGTTTGCAGTTGATATAAAAGTCGAAAGTCGTAAGAGAAGACTCGGGCAGAAATTCACAAGCTTCTTGATTACTATGATTATTCACTCTTATATTAGTCATTGGTCCTGCAGGGTATCTACAACTTCATACACTTTCTTTCGTTTTCTGAAGTTTCAGCATGGGGCTACTGTCGTTCCATGTCCCTGTCTTCCTCTCTGTCCTCTTCCTCGGTAGTCACTTGTGTCGTTTTTAACTGCTTCTGAGCCTCTTCCTACACAGACTCTCAAACTGGGGATAAAAACCTTTTAATTTGCTCTGCCGCATACTACTCGTGCTCCTAACTTAACCCACCAACCCACCCACTGCTTCCTCCCCACTCCACCTCACTTGTGCAAAACAAGGCGCAATTTCCTTTTAATTTCCTCGCAGGCATCGAAGGAGCAAGTGGAGGGAAAAAGCCCTCAGAAGGAAAAGGTTGGGTTGGAAATATTTTCTGTTTTCCTTCTGCCTGCCTGCTTTGCTCTGTGTTTCTTCTAGTGTCGGACATTGGTCAATGTTTACCAAACAATTATTTCCTCTTTTTGTCGCACAAACTAAATGCTTCCGACCAGGATGGCGTATCTTCCTCTCCTTCTTTTTGGCTAGAAAGGTTGTCGCTCGGCTTCTCCTTCTACCTTTAATGGTAGCTCCAATCACCTTTTCTCCCCCTTTGACTTCTCGAGCGACTTCGTCGACTCTGCAAAACGTTCGACTGGTATTTCTGGTCTTCATGGAAATGATTATTCAAATGTTTGTGTTGCTTTACATTGTTTTCTTCTTTCTTGTTGTGGCCTTTCTATTCTTCCCCTCTCTCTGTTTTAGCCATGATCTTTCTTGACAACGCTTCGCCCTATTTTTTTGGAAATCGAACAGAGCTCTTTGTTGGCCATCTTTCAGATGGGTTCCATGGTGTAATGGTTAGCACTCAGGACTCTGAATCCTGCGATCCGAGTTCAAATCTCGGTGGAACCTTGAATCGCTTTTTTTTTGATGAGTTCTTTGTTTTTGGTGTATCTATTTTTATTGAATATTTTCTTGGTGATTCCACTTTTATTTATAGATTTTTTAATTATATTCAAGATTCATTGGGATTCTTCACTCAGGTTATGCTCTTATGCTCATGGTCTTCACCATTTTGAACGAATCGTAGAACAATATTCAAAGGAACTTGAATATTTTGCTGTTAGGATTTTATGAATTGCATTGAAAACTTTCACAAAATCAAAGAAAATGTTCCCCCAACTCCAAAGAGTACAACAAACTGTGTCAAATTTCATTGTCTTTGTCACCAATGGCTTTTTTCCACAATATTATGTAAGAACGGGGCAGAACCGTGTTTTCTTTAGCTGTTACAGACTACCCTTTTATATAAATGGACATGCATATATTATACAATTACGATTCATTCCCCAAAATGCCACTTAATGCATAATTGACCACACAAGACCCGTCCTCTTTTGTTTTTACACGTGTCGTGCTCTTAACCCATTAATTAATATGCAGGTCAAAAGTAAATGCGATTTAAAGGTTAAGCGCCTGTGTGTGGGGGACTCGGGAAAGGAGTGCGACAACCAGAATTCAAGTGGACATGGACCCGGGACACGGTCAAGTGCGAAAATGGAGTGAAGAGAAGAGAAGAGTGTCATCAAAATTAATTGGCAATTAATTCTTTATGAGCGGAGACCGATGCGACCAGGCGGAAACCCAAACATCGAGTGACATTAACCATTATAACAGAAAAACAAACATGTAGAATCACACACACAGACACTCGTACACACACACACTCAGCCAGAAGCTCACTGCGGATGAGTCAGTTTATTTAGATAGGATAATGGAACTCACGAGCCGAACAGAACAGGATGGTGGGTCTGCAGGGGGTCTTCGGAAGTGCTAATAAAACAGCTGCGCATTGAAGTGTGAACAGCCCACACAGCCCAACAGTGATTCTCTCCAGCCTCCACTCAGCGCCCACAAACAATAAAAAAATAATATGCCAAAATGTGGAAAATTGTACGGCTCGAAATTTGCTTTCTTCCAGCATTAATTTTCTCCTAACGCATATTATAAGGATTAGCCACGCATCATTAGCTTTGAGTGGAACCGGCTGGGATATCGCAGGATTATATGCATGGTGGTGGAGTATGCGTGAGTATGAGTGTCCTGGGAACACGTGCTAACCGAAATATGTAGGTTAGGGCTACCCCAAAAATGTTTTCGTATATTTTTTTTGGTATGTCTGTTTGGGTTATTGCTTCTGGGCTTTATTGTCCTCGGCGTCACGAAATGTTTTGACAACGCTTACTTCGATAAAAACAAAGGGCGAAAAACTTAGAAAACGCGATGAAAACTAACACAAAAAGTTGTAACTTTCAACTTATATTACAGTTTTTGTTTTCTTGGGGCATTTTTGTTAGCATTTTAATTAAAATTGTTGTTGTAGGATTTATTTTTGCTTGGTACCAAAGAAAAACGGGGTAAAACGCGAACACGTTGGAGTGTGAAACCAGCGCGCCTCAAAGTAAAACCAAAACTGAGCATTTAAGGACATTTACGATTGATTTTATACCGAAACCCCAGTCAGGCCCGAGTCCGAAAAGGACGCGACTGGCTCCTGGGCCTCTGACACAGAAAACCTTCGGGGTAAAATCAAGAGCCGAAGACCCGATTCGGAGTGAAAAAGCTTTTCGTGCTCTCTGCCCCCTCTCTTTCAGAGCATATATTCCAGCAGGTTGTTTTTTTGTTTGGCGCCCTTTATTAAAATTACATTACAATTATTCGTGGCACCATGTGCTTAATTGGCGTATTTCATTGTTACGAAAAGTTCAGCAAGTAATCAAGCGAGTTTAATCTCGTTAAAATTATGGACTTTTGTTTCTCCAGCCCTAGCAATTGCAACAAAATATTGTCTCTTCACCTTGCCAGAGCTGCCAGGTGAACGTGAACAAAAGATCAGGTTTTTATAAATAAAGTAAATCGTTGATCAACTTTCTTTCTACGATCTGTGGTGCGGAGCGGGCATCTGCTTGACTACAAAACTGGCATCTAAGCGATGAGTGTTCATAGAGGTTCTATGGTGTAATGGTTAGCACTCAGGACTCTGAATCCTGCGATCCGAGTTCAAATCTCGGTAGAACCTATCATGCATTTTTTTGTTTTTGAATTTTTTATTATGTTTTTGTTAATACGTGTTGGTATTTTCTTTGATATTATTTAATTGTTACAAAAAACGAAATGAAAGATCATCTTCGTGAAGTTTTTAGCGCAAATTGTCTTTCACGGCGTTCAGAGGGGTTCCATGGTGTAATGGTTAGCACTCAGGACTCTGAATCCTGCGATCCGAGTTCAAATCTCGGTGGAACCTGAGTTTCATCAAATTTTTTTTCTTTAGTTTTCTTTAATTTTTTCTCTTTTTCATTTCAATAATATTATAATGTTCCTGATTTTTTGTTTACAGTTGGATTTTCGTGGCTATATATATTATTTTCGGACTTTTTACTTCAGCACGTGTTGAAAGCCCATCAAAATGTAGCTTTTAAGAGCATACTGACTAACTACCGTAAACTTGTTCACACACCCTCGCTTACACATTTGACACGTGAGAGACCAAACACTTGCTGAGTGTAAGAGTGAGAGGGGTTGACACTGTGAATACGATACAAACAAATAATAAATAAATATCAGCAAAAGAAACCCGAATCGCTTAAATTCGCAGCTGAACCTACGATAAGGCGGAATGCCAATGCCCCAGCACATCTGTAACCATAAACTCCATACAATTGGATTGCCTTACAAGACTCACCTTTATCGCGAAACAACTTTTTGTAGCCGGACAATTGCTCCGAATCCAGCCATTCTTCAACGGTGGGCAAGGGGGGCTCGGCGTCGGTGTAGCGTTGCAGCCAGGCGGGGGGATACGATGTCCAGATCAATAAAACAATCTTTACTAGGGAGACTGTGAACATCAAGCTCAAGATGAGGGCTACTAGGACTTTGAGCGAGCGTTTCCACATAATCAAAGTTCGGAAGGTGGACCCGATAAATGCATGGGAGAGATACGCAGCTGTCTCTTTCTAAATATTTAATGCGCGCACTTTGACGTCGCTGCCCGATGCGTTGCAGGTGGAAGCAACAGCGAACCCAGCAGCAGAGGAGGTTGCAGCAACAGAGGCCAGGCCAAACACAACAACAACGCGAACATTATTTTAAACCGATTTGTACTGTTTTTTGTGTCAGTTTCTTACAGCGTATATTATTTTATATGATTTTTGCACGGAAAAAGAAGCACAAAGGTTGCAATAGTGCAGCCAGCGGAGAGCAAAAACAAAGCTTTGTGGATGGGTGGGTGGTATTTTGCCATTCACAGTGGGGCGCGCACAGAACAGCTGACAGCAGCGATACAAACCATTTAGTCATTTCGTAAACCATAAGATGCTGAGCATTTATGGTTTTGTTTTCAATTAATTGACATGTACATATATATGTCAGTATGTACGTAAGACTGTAATTATACTGCAGAAAAAAAATCAAAATTAAGTTAAGAAAAAATTAAAATAAAAATTGTTGAAACTCAGGTTCCACCGAGATTTGAACTCGGATCGCAGGATTCAGAGTCCTGAGTGCTAACCATTACACCATGGAACCGCTTGACAGCCGGTGGACAGAACTAATAAACGTACATCATAGAGCACATATATAATGCTGAGTTTGTAATTTACGACATTGATTTTTGTGTTTTTCATTAAATAGAGAAATTAAACAAAAGTGATTAAAAATACACATCGTTAAAACGACAAATGTTACATTTGTGAATGTGAATTGGAAGTGAATTCATTGGAATAAAATGAATTGGTTAGCCAGTAAGAAACGAAAACAAATAGAAATAAACAAGAATGATTTGTTAAATAAAGACGAAAGTCACAAAATAATCAAATCAATAATAAATCAAATCAAAAAAAGCATCCAAGGTTCCACCGAGATTTGAACTCGGATCGCAGGATTCAGAGTCCTGAGTGCTAACCATTACACCATGGAACCGTTTGCGATGCTGTCGTCCAAACTGATTCAGACTTTTCACTGGGCCTCACTTTTTGTTACTTCTGCACGCAGACAAAAGAAGAAGCACGATGCCAACAAAACTAAACTGTCATCAAAAATCAATATTTCTGTACATTACTCTTGCAACATTTTTATTTGTTCATTTTTTTGTGCGCTTTTTTGAGAAGCTTTTATGACTATAGAGAAAAACTTAATTAGCTCAAATTCCAAAGTCCATTATCATGTCCATTATCACGTCCATTTGTGCGGGTGTTTGTTAACCATCCAATCCACGGGTTAAGTCTCAGCACTTAACCATAGTACGAGTAGGGAGAGGCAGCATAATAGCCGCCGGAATAGGCGTAGGGACTGGCTCCGTAGTAGAACTGGGGTGCGGGCTCAGGACTGGCAACGGGGATGGGTGCTGGGGCAGCGCGTGGCAGTGGTGCAGGAGCAGGCACGGCCAGGGCAGCGGCAAAGAGGGCGGCGAAAACAACGACCAACTGGGGTGGGGGATGGATTATAAATAGATGAGAATTAGGATTCATGAATTATGAATCAGTCAGAGTTTATGTGTGAAAAGGAGTTTGAACTTTGAAGAGTGATTCACTGAATTTAAGGAGAAGGTTCGAGTTAGCTTCAGTCTTTAGTTCTGAAGTCCTTTCCTGAGGATGGGTCCTCATCCGTTCTATAACTCACCAGCTTGAACATTTTGCTTGAATTGATTTTTTGTCTGGTTTCTGATGCTACTGAAGCGATTGCACTTTGTGATTTGATGCTGTTGACGCCCACGCCGGGGTCTTATATACTCGTAGTTCTCTTCCAGTCCAAATTTGTCACACTCATGACTTATTTATGATGTCGCACTTCTGGAGGCACTCTTTGGGATTTATGGCCATTTCTGTTTTGCTCACATCATTCCGCAATAGTTTTCGTTTTCGTTAACGTTCTTTATTTGTATTTTGGATCTATTTTGATAGTGTTTGACAGGCGAGTACAAAAATTTCCCTTCGCATTCTAATGACTTCTTATTCTTTGCCAATCTGCGCTGATGGAATCACTCTCGGTTATAGAACTGGCCCGGCCTTCAAGGTGACGCGCATTTCAGCCCAGTGAGACAGTAGAATTTTGCGAGCTACGCTCAGTGCATTTTAATTGGGGATTTCTTGTCCCCACTTTTGCCTTCCACTCAAGTGATTAATGATCTGTAGACATTGTCGTGTATTTGGGCACTGAAATTCAATTACTTAGATCAATTGCGCAGAAATATTGCAGGTGAAATTAGAAATCAACAAAATATTTATTGACAAAGAATGGAATTATATTTAAAGAGATTTCAGCTATCATAATTTTTACTCTTCCATAAAGTTTGTCAGATAGTGGCATGTATAGCTCTGGGCTACGGTGGACTTTTACTTGGAATATAATCGAATAATATATTGAGTAGATCTCTAGTTTAGGTCGCTGTGCACTTTCTGTCTGAAGATAAATCAAAACAAATTTGAATGCATTTTTCTAAGATTTTTAAGTTTCTTTGATTGTGTTAAAATTTGTTTTTTTAGGTACGTTTTTGTAATTAGGGGTATTAGCTTTTTGGCTCTTATGTATTTGCATCATGTTACGTTCTGTTTGTGATGCCAAAACAAATCCTCTTATGTCATCCGCCAGCAAGCGCCCAAAGTGTATCCATGAAAACTGTCACATCATGTGTTTTTCTACTCCCAAATGGAACGAAAGCAACCAAAACAAAGCCAAATGTTTGCCCCAGGCAATAAGCAAAAACAAAAAATTCAAAAAAAGTTTCAAAAACAGAGAGTGAATTTGCGAAAAAAAGAGCGACAAACTTTGGAGCACGGCGGTTGGAAGTGGAGAGGAATTGAGTGGAGTAGGATGTCAGCTACTGCTGCTGTTGCTGCTGCTGCTGATGATGATGATGATGATGGTGACGATGTCGTCAGTAGAGTAGTAGTGGGCAAACAGATTAAGAAACAATAATGTTCTTTGTGTTCGCATTTGGCAGGCATTAGGAAGCCCGAACGCGTTAAACTCGATAATGAGCCATCAACTTGGCCAACGAATGCAAATGGAATATCAAAATGAGGGAGCGAACGAGTCTCCCGTTGCAGTCAGCACTGATGACAGCAGCCCAATACAATAAAGCTGCTTAGACTGCCTCCCCTCGTACCCCTATCTTTCAGAAATGTTTGTTATTCGAATATAAAAGGCTGCAATCGAGCAAACATCGAGTGCAGTTCGATTCTGTTTGTCAAGTCGTAGCATTAACTCTTTTCATCATGCTGAAGCTGGTGAGTGCTTGCCACAGGAAGGCATCTATCCCTGCCCCTTTAATGCCTGAGTGTTTCCCTTATATTCCTCAGGTATTCCTGTTGCTCGCCGCTCTGCTGGCTGTTGTCCTGGCTGTGCCTGCCCCAGCTCCGGGCCCCAATCCGGCACCAGTGCCCCAGTTTGTCTACTCCTCTGGCTATCCCGCTGTGGGCTATGCCTCGCCCTATGTCTACTATGGTTGATGTCAACGATTCCCGATTTAATGAATAAAAAGCTTTTGCAACAGAATTTACAAGAGTTGTGCTAAGGCACCTTTGCCTGGGAAGATAATCCAAAAACGATGCAGGAAAATGCGAGAAGTTACAACGAGTTATTGCTGAAGGAATCAATTTTGTTCGAAAGCAAAGCTGAAACTTAAGTTAACTTTCGGTCTTTGATGTAGAGTTTCTGTTCGAAGTTATATGCTTTTTCTTTTCTACTTTATGGCTGCCCAAACTTGGTTTTTGTTATAATTTACATGAAGCATTCCTTTAAAATCGACCATAGAAAAGGGAGCCATAAAACAGAACTGTTCTACAGCTCAACTTGGGTCTGTTTCACCAAAGTAGAACAATAATTTGAAAAGTTTTCATACCAAAGCTCTCCTCTATCCTGTATAGTAAATCAATGAGCTTCGACCCCTTACTGAACAGGAGACTTTCCACCCCACAAATAATTTTACCCCTGCATTAGCCTCTGGCAACATTTCGAACTACATTATGTGTCTAAACATCCTGCACTCCTGCAACAATGTTTAGCACCTCGAGGACGAAACAACATTGCGATTGCCACGAAGTTGCGTGCTGGAAGAAGTTTTCCCTTTTCGGCCGACATCCTGGCGTTACGCCAAAAGGATGCCCGACAGGAGACACGATGACTTCAGTGTATTTTCTGATTTCGCAACGATTCGAACGTGAACGCGGCTGAAATAGAGGAAATTGAGAGGCCACAAAAGGAGTCACGTCACCCGCTCGCGTCAACTTCGTTGAGATCCCGAGTCCTGTGCCATCCTGTCGGGCAGAATCCTCCATGCGAATGCAGTTTCAGTCGATTACCGTCGCTCGCCTGCAATGGATCGCCTGAATGCCCAGCGACAAGGCCACAGCCTTGCACGACAACCGTTAGCCAAGTAGAGCGCGAGAATTTGAGCGTGGCAAAGTCGCAGGATATGTTGGCGGAAATGTTAACCACCGGCTCCTCACCGCGTGCTCTGCCCAGCTCTCTGAATCCAAGTGTTTCCTCAAGTGTCAGTGCCTAAGAAAAAGATATATAAACGGAAGCAAAAAAAAAGAACCGCAAAACAACAAAAAAAGCAGCAACAATTGTAAAGCGAAGGTTGATGTTGGCCATTGGCCATGCCCATGTCCATGAGGCAGATGATGTCATGCCATTGCCTTGGCCATTGTCCTGGCCAAAGTGAAAGTGTTGTTGTTGCTGCTGTTGCCGCTTATCCGGCCACGACACATGACACATGAGAGTCGTGCCAGCCAGTCATGTGCCATTATCCCGCAAGTGAACAGCCTCATAATTAACTGCCAAGGTTTCCCAAACGAAGGATAAAATCGCCACGAAAATCCAAGTGAAGTAAACTTCTAGGAATCTAGAGTAAAAAACGATTTCAGTGAAATTAGCCATTTACCATTAACCATTAACCATTAAGGATTAAGGATTATAACGAAGTAAAGGATAACCCACTGCTGGCAGAGAACCACTTGGAACTATGGATACTTTGTTCGCCGTCTGCTCGCTGCTGCTGCTGCTGCTCCTCTCACAGAATGGTAGGATAATCTCAGATCATCTTCAGCTGCCCCCACTCCCTGTTACATGCTACATCCTTGAAAGAAAAGGCTTCTACACTGTGGCTTAGCCAAGTCACAAAAGTACTCGTAACTCTTGCTTCTGTGCCTGAAAGTTTCTCTTTGCACAAAAGAATATTTTTTTCGCTCTTTGTTAGTTT